TACTTGTGCTCACTAGTTATCATTTCCACCTGCATTTCAGCACATGGATGAGGAAGAAGTATGAGGCAGATGTGCAAAGGGCTACAGCAAAGGCTAAAGGGGGCCATGGCATGATCCAAGGATTTGTTGGACAGTTCTCATTCCCAAGGATGCCATGTGCAGCATGGACATGTCTGAGGCATTCTCAAAATTACCAAAAAGGCCCAAAGTGTGGCTGTCAATACAGAAATCCTGCCTAAGGCAGCCCTTGTGACCTTCCTATGGAGAAGCACAAAGGGATCAGCAAAAATGGACCCTTTATTTCTCAGTTTTCCCACAGTAAAACATGGAATAATAATACCTTAGTCATACTAACTCCATATTGTGAGGATAAATTAACTCTTGCCATGTTTTCAGGCACTGTAGTAACATGGATTCTAGGAAAAAAAAAAGAAGCTATATATAGCCACATAACCAATACAGGTAAATACCTCTATAAATAAAACCTGTAAGTACTGCTGCAATACAAATAATAAATAAAAAACCAAAGAAGACTTAGTCATATGCACAGGCAGATTTACAGTTATGGAGGAAGTACTTTTACAAAGAGCACAGTGAAGCATATAAAGTAGGATGGTGAAGAGAAAGGTAATAAATCATTCTACAAATACACTATTCTGAAAAATGGCCATTGTAGGTAAAAGTATCTTCCTAAAGTTCTGGGATGCATTTTTTTCTGGTAAATTGAACATACAGATAACTAACAGGTATAAATGAGCACCCTCCTACATGTATAAAAGCCACATTTCCTAAAATAATAAATGGATACCTGTGTTGTGTGCTCAGCCTAAACAGGGACACAAGTAGTTCTGTGAGCTGTGGAGTTAATGAAGTATTTGTGGACAACAGTTTACTATCTTGCCAAGAATTTATGGCACTATAAATCCTCAGAGTGTATTTTGCTTTGAAAGAAGCCCTCTGTATAGAAAACCCTGGGACACAAGAGTACACGTGCATGGGGAAACTGCCAAATTTCATGTGTGGGAAGGGAAGTACAGAGAGGGGCAGGAGGCAGATGTGATGCTGCTGTGGAGTCAGGAGGGACAGGGAGCCAGGGCCTTGCTAAGGTGTAAGAGTTGTTGTTTTCTTTTTTTTTGTAAGAGCTGCACAGAGAAACAGGAGACAGAGATGCCAGGGAGTTCCAGACACACTGTGTGTGTGCTGATGCTGGCATGGCCCCCCAGCACTTCTGCCTTTCACCACAGGTCTTGAAAGGCAGGCAAGGGCTCTGACAGTGGTGTGCCCCCTCTCTGCTTGTGCTCCCAATTCTGCCTGATCCAACTGTCTTTCCAACAGCTTCCTGATTTCCCCAAACCAGACCCTGGGATGACTGCTGGGCCACAGTTTTGCTAGTTAGAAGAGAATGAGGACGCAGCAGAGGGGCATTTTCTTTACTAGGTACATTGTTCCAGCACAGCAGATGGGACTTTGTTCTTCAGCAAAGTAATTTCAGATTTTGCTTTCAGTCAGGAAATGGTGGTGAGGATAGGAAAGCGTAAATAGCACATAAATATCATTACAATAAAAGTAAAAATTGAGAGGCTTATATCAAAATCTCTTTATACCAAAGTATGTTGTAGGTACAGGCATACCATTGACTACCCAGTAGCTCTAGGGCATTCTCTCTACACAACAGCACTAGCAATTCTCTGAAGGCAAAGTACACCTATCATGTATGCATCATATGCCAAATTCAGCAAAATTCAGCTTATGACAGCAAAATTCTGCTTTAACCAACATCATTTGCTCCAGATCATCCAAACGAAGCTCTCAGCTTCATTTCTTGAAGTGGGAGCAGGAGCTGCACTCATGATATCCCTGTCTTGTGTAGACACCACTGATTCCTGCAGCTCACCCTTGCCAGTGCTTACACATTTCAATCCTTTTTAATCTCACAATATATCCTGTTTCTAATAAACCACATGATAGGTATCTAAACAACCCTTTAGCATTTGTTATGTATTTATTTACTTAGATACTTTTTCCCATGCAGATATGGCTTCCATTAAGTCAAAAACATTTCAAAATCACTTTAAAACTCTGCTGCAGAAACAACAGCTTAAAATGAAAGCAATGACTTGCTGCTGCCCAAATGAAATTTTTGTAACAACCTTACATTTATTCCTATCTGCCTTTGAAAGTTCTGCATTTAGACAGTGTTTGATGCCCTATTTTTTTCTGCTGAATTTCATTTAGTGTTTCATTCTTCTTGCTGGATACCACATGACATGACCATATACACATCCTGATCCTCTAAATGCTTTCAAGCACTGTTCAGGCACTTGTAGCGTTGCATTTCATGCCCTTGCCCTGTCCCTCACTTTGCAGGTGCAGAAGAAGAGGCTACACTACACCAATAATCTCAGCTACAGCTGTCAGCTTGCCAGTTTGCAGAGATCTGTTGTCCTGCATCTTACAGACTACACACATTCCTGTTGAAAAAAAACCCCAAACAACTTTACTGAGAGTAACAACACTACAAAAGAACCCAAAAAAGAAGATACAGTAAATGCTTATTAATAAATGTCAGCAGTGAAATTTCCATCCAACACTACAGTGCTTGTAGCTAAGGTGTTACTACATTGATTCATTATAATTCTCCAGGAACAATCAAGAATACTGAGTATGAAGCAAGAATAGATTTTTTTTTTTCCCAGAAAAATAAATTTTGCAAAACAAGTTTAATTTGGGTAGAGGAATGATAATTAACATGCAATCTGGCACTAAGCTTGATGACAGTTTAGGACCAATGTTCAGCTTGCATCTTTTATTTTTGTAATTCAATATTTCTTATTGTTTGTATCCACACTTGATGACTATTCTCAAAAAGATAAAGCTATGACAGTCCTCTTGTTTAGAAACTTGCCATTCCTCAGCTTCTCCCTTCATAAATTACAAACATAATCAGAGATAACTAAATCACAAAATTACAGTTGTTGAAAACTTGCTATGTGAAGACATCTCTAAGTAAAAACACTAGACTTTTTCTCTAGCAAACCCCACATGCTGGTCAACATTGCCATGCTATTCCAACAGCAAGCCTCTGCTTGAAATGAAGCTGCTCCTTGCAAGGAAAAGTTGCAATGCCAGGACAAAGTTTGAGAGCATCAGTGCTTGGCTCCAGCAGGCTGCAATACACCACTGAGCCCAGCATGCTTGGGAGGTGGGACTGGGACCCATCTGCCCTTTTGAAAGGATAAATGGGAAGGAGCATGGAATATTCAACACCACAGCAGGTTAGAAAGTCTTCCTCCAACAACACCCTGAAGAAGTGAAAAGTTTTCAGCCAAATGTTCTAACTCACACTGCTCTCCAGCACCTGGGACTCTTGCTTCACTATTTGGTCTAAACACATTAAATTACATTTCAAGCTTCCCTCACTGCTTTGATTATTTTCTTCCAATGGCTTCTGACAGTGATAGTAAAAGATAGTCCTTCACAAAATGATAGACTGTTGTAATATTGAAACTTTCATCTTTCATGTTATTATCATTTATATAGTTATTTTCCAGGATTCTGAGAAATATCTACTAGGATACCATCAAGTATATTTTCAGTAAAGCATAAATAATACCTTCTAAGAAGGAAATTACCCAGCATGAGATACAAAATAGATATTCAAAGTCCAATTCCCCAGACACATACTTCAGTGCAACAGCTAAACAGAACACTGTTTCTCCAGAAAACCTGACAGGATAATTTGGTTTCCAAAGTGGTTGGATGTGCTTTCCATTAGTTAGTGGATGCAGTAGGTGATGGTCATGCCTCATATGTTTAGGAAGGGGCTTCCTGGGTACTAAAAAGCCTCATGCATTCCAACATAACCTTGACTTACAAAAATCTTCACATATAGTTTGTCTGTTCCCTTTATTCATATCAGGTTCTCCTTTCCTGATTATTAGAGATTCATATTCTGAGCCTGTGAAGGGGAATTAAAAAAACAACCCCCAGACTAACACAGCCCCTAAGTGCAGAAAGCAGAAAATAAATCCACATCTACCATGTGATCAATTACACATTACACCCTCTTCTACAAAGTTTTAGAAAGGCTTCATCATTTCCTTCACCTTTCAACTTCATCAGCATCACCTCCCTCTCCCGACACACAGCATGACTAGAGTAAAACCTTTTGTAAATGCACTGCACAAAACGGTGTGCAGCACACAAACAGCACCCCTTCCCCTTCTGATCTGCTTTTACTAAGTCCATATAATATTTTCACTACCAGGAACATAAACATTAAACACGTGTATGCATCTGTTCCTATGCAGCCTGCCAGCTCCCTGTGCTGAGCGAGGGCCGGCTCCAGCCCCGCGCTGCGGGGACCCGAAACGCCAGCACAGCCGGAGCTCCTCCGCCCCGCAAACACTTCTCTCCGTAACTTCGGGAGGTTTAAGGGCTGCTTCTGAACCAGAGACGCGGTGACAGAAGGTGGGGAAACCCAGGACGAGCCACACGAGCTTCCCAAGTGCCCGGGGCGCACGAAGCCCTTCCCCGGCCGGCCGGCGGGGCGAGCGCCGCGCCCCGATGGATCCGGGATGGAGGGACGGATCTCCCCCGGCCCCTTCACCCCGGGCACACCGGGATGGAGGGACGGATCTCTCCCGGCTCCCGCACCCCGGGCACACTGGGATGGAGGGACGGATCTCTCCCGGCCCCTTCACCCCGGGCGCACTGGGATGGAGGGACGGATCTCTCCCGGCTCCCGCACCCCGGGCACACTGGGATGGAGGGACGGATCTCTCCCGGCTCCCGCACCCCGGGCACACTGGGATGGAGGGTCAGGTCTCCCTCGCTCCCGCCGGCACTCCCCCGACCCGGAGCCCCTCACACCCCCGCCCAGCCGCCACTCAACTCGCGGCAGAGCCCGCAGCGCCTCCCCGCTGCCGCCCGGCCCCCATCCCTCCCTGCCTCCTCCCCTTTAGACCTCCACCCTTCCCTCCATCCCTGCCCGGCCGTACCTGGGTGCTGGAGCCGAGCTCCGGCGGCCGGCGAGCCCTCACAGCCTTGGCCGCGGTCCGCAGGCTGAGGGGCGCGCCCTGAGGGGGCTCCGCGCCCATCGCGCCGGGCAGGGCCGCCGAGACCATCGCGATGGGCGCCGGGCCGGCAGCGAGGGGACGGGCAGGGTGTGCCCGGGGATGGGCAGGCTGTGCCCGGGGATGGGCAGGCTGTGCCCGGGGATGGGCAGGCTGTGCCCGGAGCTTGAGGAGCGCCGGGACAGCGCCGGGCTTGGCGCTGCCCGCCAGCACCGCCGGCTTCTGCCGGGAGAGGGGGAGAGAGAAGCGGCATCGTCACCGCAAGGGCTGCAGAAGCACTCGGCCTCCCGGCAGCACGGATTTGGGGTTATTTCCTTTTTCTTTTGGTAGGGTTTACAGTTTTCCTACTGGCAGGGGAAGGTTCCCCCGCGTTGCTCGGGAAATCGCGGGATGCGCTCCGCGCTTCCAAAGTTGGGGGTTTGGGTTGGATGTTTTTCCCCGTGGGTTTTGCCTCGAGCTGATATCCTAGTATAAATGATCGTGGTATAAGTCTAGGTAATACTGCAGCTTCAATTAATAATAAATGGCTTAAAGAATGGTATTTTCAACTTTCTCTTCCTTTGGTCTGAATATCCATTGCACATGCCCACCGCACCCCAGTGCTTGGCGACTTCCTGAGTTCTTCCACCGTGACTGACTTTGGAGTCAGTTTGCTGCTTTCTCTTTAAAGTTTGCTTTTCCTCACAAAATTCCACTATTTTCCCAGTGGTGGGAATGATAATTATGATAGTAATGATAATTATGGTTGTTGTTATCATTATCATCATCGTCCAAGCTAACTTTTCTCCATAGCACCATTTTAACTCGCAGTTCTCTGTTTTTCTTAAGAGTTGTTCTTTTATATTGCTACAGAGTGGCTATTCCATCATCTGTAAAAGAAATACTTATTTTGATTATGAGCTTGCTATAGGATCTCTGACAAGATTTGTATTTGAGATTTCTGTAGGTACTATGAAGGTGCATATGTTAAATAATAGTGTGTGCATAAAATGCTCACTTTTGAAAAGGAAAAAAAAAACTTTTATAAAGTTGTTGCACTTTGAGTAAGCTTTTATTATTAATGCCATTTAGGCAAGCTAGGTAAATGTGCAAAAAATATGTCAGTTCTAGCCTCTTTTGATACCTTTAATTATTAAACATCTCGTCAACTAGAGTTGACATCAAAGGCACTTAATCCTGCAAACAGTTTTGCCCATGTTTAGCTTCATACACTGACCATGACTTTGGACTCCAATGCAATTACATGTTATGTACAGCCTTTGGGAAAGTCTGCTCTGCTGTTAAAGCCCATAAGAGTTTTGTTGTCAACTTTGTTTAAAATAGAATGTGTGCGTAAAAGTGTGTTTGTGTATGAAGTTATAGACATGCTTAGTTCTTTTCAGAATCAAGGCTGAAAACCTTACTACTGGGCATAAAGTAGAAGCCTTGTAGCACAAAACTTAGGTGATTTCTAGGAAGATATATCCCATCTTACCTTTAAACCACTGTAAGACTGGGAAGGCTTAGTGGAAATATATGTTTGCTCTGGGAACTATAGTATTTGTGTTTATATGAAATCACAAGCATATGCTTTACCAGAGATATTTGCTTCAGATTTTAATATACAGAAATTACTTGGTTTTGGCAAAGGTTGGTCTCAGTGATCTTTGAGGTTTTTTCCAACCTTACTGAATCTCTGGTTCTGTGATTCTGATGGCAGCATTACTCTAGTAATTGAGACATTGTAGAAATTGTTTTGAGCTTTCTTCATTTTTGTCTTTACCTTTCATTCTCCATTATCCTGACAATCATCCCAAGGAAGCATAGGCAATATTCTCCTTGTTCTCTATGCTGTTGTGTGTCATAGAAGTTTTGAAGAGAAAAGAGCTTTCTCTTCAAAACAGAAATATACCTGTCTGACAGTTTAAGAGTGCTCAAGTGAAGGACAAGAAGGTCAGGAATGTGTTTTATGTAGGAGGGAAAAGCTGTTTATGAGAAAATTCTATAAAACCCTATTTCTGTGGTTTGTTGTAGCACAGTTTTCCACTGGTGTTCCTTGCACTGAGTGCATGCCCCATGGTGTGCTGCTGCAGATGCCAAAGAGAATTGGGACAGCCTGTGGGAGAGCTCCCTGACCATCTCCTCTCCTGCTCTACAGAATATTTCCTTGCAAAGCACCTTACCCCTACAGTGACATAAAGCTCTCAGACTAAGATTCAGCCCTGTGGTGGTATTTTTGCTTCATGCCCTATGAAAAATGCAGGCTCACAGACTGTCTGAAAGTGCTGCACTTGGTTACAGTGCTAGAAATCCATTGCATAACTGGAGTTATTCCAGGAGGGAAATCCTAGCTCTGCTGCAGACAACCAGAGGTTTGCTGCTGACATCAGTAGCACTGGGTGGGGATTCTCTTTTGTGACCCTAGGAACATTTGCTATTCCTGATTGATCACTGTATTGAATAAATGTCTTTAAATGTTTGTCCTCAGACATGAACGTGTGGGTAACTGAATTAAAAACCTCTTACAGAAACACTCAGTATATTACTCTGATTTCATATTTTCACTTCTGAAGAAATGTCTTTTAATGTTTGTCCTCAGACATGAACGTGTGAGTTATTGAATGAAAAACTTACAGAAACACTCAGTATATTACTCTGATTTCATATTTTAACTTACAATTCTATAAGTAAAATTCTAGTGGTATTAATAGAGCTTTACTTTGTTCCCAGACAGTTCAGCAATAGAAAGCAAATAAAACTTCTTGACTCCAAAAGACAGAGGACCCTTGGTAGCTCAGTGGAAAGAACAAGCAAATTAAGTAGAAGTAGATTATTACTTTCTTGACTAACTTCAATAGCACCTAATTGCTTTTTGTCTTGTTTCAAAGGAGAGAATTAGCAGAGAAATACAAAAGCAGAAATTCTGTAAAGAAAAAAAAATTCACCACTCAAACTACCATCCATCCCTTACTCACTTGCTCTCCCTACAAGCAGTAACAGTGAGTCAGTTTTGGGTCTTTGTGATGCATGTTAACATTTTTCCTAACAACCTCACAATTCTGTCTATTCACGTGTATGCAACCAAAAGAGTGAAGGAAATAAAGATTACTGCTTGTTTCAGTCTAAGTTGTGATAAATATGAAATGCTTGTAAAACTGGAAAAAAAAAATTTGAATATAGGTTTTGTAGCTTTTCTAAGAAAATACAGGGGAAACATGTCCTTGGGATAGGCTTGCAAAGACCAATTGGCACACGCCTGTTACTTCCTGAGGGTACAATGTTATACTCAGTTTATTTAAATAACTGAAAATTTTAGAAACTAAATATGAAAGTATATAGAGAGGATCAGGTGCTCAAGATTAGCTTCCAAAATAGAGGTACAGAAAACTGTCCATTTAAGGAAAAGCAGCAACAGCATCTCTTCTGTATCTCTTTTATTAATTTTCTAAAATGTACCAATCAAAACTTTAAAAACAGCCCCTTTAATCAAACTGTGTTAATTAAGAGATGAGCTATTTTCATCTCTTCATGTTTTTTTCTTTGTAACAGACATTTTTACATTATAACCCTGAGGAGACATCGGTAAAGGAGTGTTGACAAGAAACAAAGATTATGATATGAGAGATGAAAATAATCCTCAACAAAACCTACATCTGCTGTATTCTCTTCTGACAGATTAATTAAAAGAATAATATTTGTTTTTAAAGAGAAATAAAATTCGCATTTTGAGAATCAGTCAGCATAACATATTATCAGATACTTTTGGAATAATGAACAATAAGATACTAAGCAAGCTTTGGCCACTGCAGCAGAAAACATGTGCTGGTACAATGGAAAAGCCAAAAGAGAGGAAAAAGAAAAGAAAAATAATTTTTGCTTTAAATGCTGGAAAGCAGGTCTCTGCTTCTCACCCACAGCATAATAGCACACACAATACACCAATTTTGAAACAGCGCCTTTTCAATAGCAACATGACTTTCATTTTCACTGCAGGATGCCACAGGCAGTCCAGAGTTTGAAATATGTATGCTGGTCACATGCAAACATGCCACAATGTGCTGGAAATCTGCCACTTGTTTATGATTTCCCATCTTGTACGTGGCACGATCTCAACTATTTAAAGCAGAGTTAATGTTTTTTCCCATATGTATCAAAATAACTCTGGCCTTCCTATTTATTAGTGCATGTAAGTCTACTCCCTGTCCCCTCCTTTCCAGCTAGGTCTGTGTTGTAAAGGTTTGCAAGTAAGACTGTAGCCTTCCAACAGTTTTAGCCTCAAATTTGATTACTCAAATGCTACTTCTGCTATCACAAACCACAAATCCTTCTGTTTAGTGAATAAAGCAATGGAGAGGGCAAGGGAGAAACTATTTGCAGGTTGCTCTGCTGTGACCCACACGCTGAGCAGTGGGGCACAGGTATGGGCACACACAGGCTCCAGCCAGGCTCCAGGTGCACAGCACTGCTTCTGGTGCACGGCTTTGTCCCCTTCATTGTCACTCTGCTGCAGTTTACATCACGTCTTCAAACACTTACTGAGCTGATGTCAACATTACTTCACACATGCATCTCAAATAAGAGCATGGGCATGCTCTGCAAGGGAGGAATTCTCAGCTCCTGGCTGCTGTCTGCCCCAGCAGTGATTTAAAACAAACACACACCTTTCAGCAAACCTTCATGTTTTCCTAGTAAAAGATGAGATCTGTTTAAAAAGGACCTAAAATTCACTGTCCATCACGTTTATATTTTAACACCTACACACTGTAGACAGAACCCTCAGTCCATTAATCTTTCCAGAATGATGCTCTGACAAAGCAGTTTGGTTGTGAAAAACTGCAACTGTTTACAGAGCAATATCAGGTTTTTTCCTTAGTGGGCCCATGGCTACGAGAAAACATTTGGCATAAGCCCAAATGTTTATTTAGCTTGCAGAACACTGGAGATCCCCTTTCAAACCAAAATGATGTCTTTGTCAATTAATAATGTATCATTCCACACTAATCTAATGCCATGCATGCAAACCAGCTGAACAGACCTCTCCAGCAATGAGAGCCATGGCCTCTCTTCATTTACCCAACAGTCACAATAAAATTCTCTTAAACAACAGAATATTTAATATTCAGAGAGTGACAATACACAAGCTCACTGTAAACATAGTCACAAGCTATGTCACTTTAGTACATTATCTAAGGATTTTGGTTCAATCCTATGAATTTCCATGTATTTCTCCTATATTTCCAAATTGCCAGTTATATATGTGGCTGATCCTGCCTGATCTGAGCCTTAAGTCATGAGCTCACCATCCTCATAACTTCACACGCTGAAACAAAGAAATGAGCAG